AAAATATCTGCATGGTTTAAAATTGTCTTTTCAGATTACTTATTATTTGCAATGGGAAAAACTAAAAGTGTACAGTGGAGAAATAGGAGTAAAACCTTAGTTATCAAAATTAGTATCACCAGTACAGAGCAAATGCATACTGTGCACCTCTGGATGTGCTACTATGAGCAGAACAGATCATATCTCTAGTCATGAGTGAACAATCTGAATGTGATCACAAGAGAACAGCAAACAAACTAAATAAGGAGCACTCTGCATAAACAAGCAAGCAAACAAAAACAGAAGGGGAATTTATTCTTAAGAAATGCTCATGTATTAATGGAAATATTCCAGATGAATGAAACTGAAGAAATATTAAAACTATATGCAAGATATCATCATAGATTGGATCCTGGAAGCAAAAGGAAAAAAATGTTATAAAGGACATTTACTGGATCAGTTAGCAAAACTGAAATATGGAAGGTTGATAAAAGTACAGTATTGATGCTAAATTTACTGATGTTGATAACTGTACTCTGGTCTCATTAAAAAAAAAAAAGATCTCTTTATTCTTTGGAAAAACACATTGAAGAACTTATTAGTAGAATCCATGATGTATGCAGCTTCCTGTACCTAATGGTTTTTAAAAAATGTGCACATGAAGGATGGTGGAATGGCTGAACTGTTAGAGCACCTGTGTAGCAAGCACAACACCCTAAGTTCAACCCTTAGTACTGCCAAAAAAGCAAAAGAGCAAACACACATAAATGTGCATACATATATGTTTTTTCTATATTCACATACTTAAAAACATTCATGCACATATATGTGTACATGGAGAAAGGTGAGAGACTGGGAAGGCAGAGCAAATGCGAAAGTAAATGCCATAGAATACTAAGAACAGATGAAACTGGGTAAACGACATACAGTTCTTTGTCTCATTTGTAAGCTTGTTTATTTTCCAAATATAATTTTTTTATAAGTTGAAGCTACATTCTTCTATGACAAATATACTATAGAAGTCAAGTAGCTTATGTAAGACCTTTTAAAACACTGCTGTACATGATGGTTTTGAAAAATGAAATACTTACCTATTGTTTGGATAATAGCATTCTGTACAATTTTCTCATCATTGTCTTTGGAATTTAAGTTGACACTGCCTAAAGATCCTTTGTGTGAATCACTGGCTTCAAATTCAACACTGAGACGCAGATGTTTCAGCAAGGTGTTGAAGACTTCCAGCACTGTGGGACCTGTGAAACATTGGCTGTGTGAGCAGATACACTTTCCAATAATAAGCATACTCTAAAGGAGTTCTCACAGTCCTCAACAAGTATTTTGACTGTTTTCTAAATAGTCAAAAATAGTAATAATTTATGAGATAACCAGTTCATTATTTAAAGAAAAAGTAAATGAAATCTCTAAACAATGAAGTCTTCTATAGTTACACAAACATTTACTGAGTATCTATGAGTAATATCCTGACTGACTCTAGCAAAACACACACAAATTGTGTATGTTCATGTAAGGACTACCAAACACTTCTTACCTAATCTTGTCAAATCCAAATAATGTATTCTGAGATAATATTTAACTTAATTGATGGGTCAGAATCTATAGCATTTTAATACAGCTCATTGTATTGTGGAAATAATATTGTGCAACTTTGAGTTTAAAGGAGGAAGAATTTCCCACAATTACAAGACAGAAACTAGTCAACTTATCAAATTCAAGTAGAATGACTTGTTCTTTTTTTTTCTATAAGCAATCTGTATATGCATCTATCCTTACAACAATCATATTATATTTTAATTAGGGGTTTCACTATCTCTATACCTATTACATTATATTCTAACTAGGGGTTTCACTTCTGCCCCCTACTCTCAATTTCAAGCTTCTTCAGGAAGGGAGCTGTGGTTAAATGCTTCTTCAAATATAGAGTGTAACACACAGATTCTAAAACACAGTAGACATTATTAGTATGATGATTCAATATATGTTGCATCTCGTATTTCAAAGTAAATAACATTTCAATAACTTCATTTTTTGAGATAAACAAGATAAATTATGAAAATCCATATGCTCCCTTTCATTCAACACTGAAAGAGTACTACACTATGTCATTAGCTAATATATTTCCACTTTAATTTTGAACAACAAAAAAAAGACAACCAAATTCTCCTCTAACTTCTGTATTTCTATTATGGATTCTTCTATTTTCCTAATCGCATGTAGATGAAATACCATGATATTTGACTTGTTCTCTTTTCCTTCTTAAACCTACTATAAGTCAGTTTTCAAGTTCTATTGACTAAGGGCAAAAATTCTTTCCCCATGCTTACAATGGGGACAACAAGCTATTTCTAATGAGTCCTACATTTTACTAGCAGATGAATTATCCAAGAACACATCTCTGGTAAGATTACAGTGAATTTTTATTGAAGTCAAACAATTATAAATCAATTATTTGGCTGGGACTTTTCCCCAATATCACACATTCTGGCAAAATGGACCACATCACATGATGCTCATATTAATCCACCTTCTCTCCCTTCTCCAGACCCAAGTTTTCTCATGAAGTGTCATGAAAGTCTGCCTTATAGGGCAGCATTAGTTGGAGTTAACTACTAGTTAAAACAAGAGGTTGAGCAAACCCTTCCTCATCAAAATGGCTGGGGCAAGACAAGTTTTGAATTTTGGAGTATTTGTACATATAAACACACACACATAAATATATATAGCCCTATACATATATATACACAAATACATACAGAAACTATTTCAGGGATGTGACCCAAGTCTAAACACCAAATTCAGTTGTGTTTCACATATACCTTATAAGCATAGCCCAAAGAGAACTTTATGTGAGATTTAAAGAGTCCCTGCATTTTGACTGTGACTTATTTATCCCATGTTGTCAATTGTGAGATTTTCCACTTGTGGCATATTAGCACTCAAAACATAGCAGACTGTGAAGTATTTCAGACTTCTGGATTAGGAATGTTTAACTAGAACTACTCTTAAAATCTGTATTCTCCACATTTAATTTATAAATTATATCCCAAAACGTTCATTCAAAGAGGCAGAAGAAAAGGAGAAACTAACTTGGAGAAAAATGCTTAACTATGTCAGTCCAAGAACAATGACCTAAAACCCCAAAACTCAAGAGAAATTGTAGCCATTTAAAAATATATAAATATATTCTTAAAGAGAACTTCATGCATTCATATACCTAGTGGAAAAAAAGAAGCACTCTGAAACACATAAATGCATTTATTTTTCTCACTGTCACTCACCTATGGAACCTTTAGCAGCAATGGCTACAGCTTCTAACAGAACCTGAATAATACCTGCTCGAACCCGTGGAGAATCTTTCTTGCAAGCATCAAGATGTCCTAGAATTTCCTGGATCACATGGTGAGAATACTGAGCCTAAAGGAAGCAAACAGTAGAAAGGTATGTGAACATGTACTCAGGCAGAACCCCTAAGAATGAAAAGCCATGTGACACTTAAATACCCAATTGTAAGGAATTGGTACTTCTGAGACAGAAGACATTACAAACCATTGCTTTGAAGAATAAATAGGGATACTGAAAAGTAACTGTGATAGTCTGAGTGAGCAACGTTGGTTACAAAACACTGTGTTCCATAAAACTCACTTGGTTTTTAAAAAGTATAGAATTGTATATAGTGAAGTATTACATGGCCACTTGCAAGAAAAAAATGAGAAATTTTTATTCTTAAACTTCTTTAATCTCATAAAGAATACTTAATATTCTTATAATTTGATAATAGTACACTGTTATAAAAATAAATAACATTTATAGTACTTTCCCTATTCAAACTAGATAAATACTATTACTAGAAATACTTACCAATGCTAAACAGTCAAAATCTTACCCAATCAAAAGCCAGTATCAAAAGAAAAATCTTATTAATGTATACCTGACAAAATTTAAATCAAAGGGCTCACAATTTACAGAGACAATTTATCATATATAAATGAATATGATCAATTATAGTGAATGACACTGTGATCTAAAGCGTAACCAGAAATGGATTTAACTCAAGTGATTTTTTTTTTTTTTGGCTTCTAATGGAACAGCAAGGCTCTGTTTTTTAAAAAAAAAAAAAAACTATACTGCCCATGAGTGGCTCTAGTGCCCTGCTCCATGCTAGAAAAAGAAATGTCCCTATCTATTTGCCTTTAGACAGGCCCTCTGCCCTATTTTCAGGCTGGTTGCCTTAGTCTCTTTACAACAAGTGATTTTATATTAAGAGACGGAACCTATATATAATGACTACTGTGCTTAAAAGTACAAAATCCCATTTCATCTCTCAGCATAACAGAGTTCATCTCTAGGTATTTCTGACATTTCTGTCATAACACATGTGCTTTCATATCAACCCAAAATAAAAATGAAGTTTCCGTTTTCTCCTTTACTTTCCTTCACTTAAAGCTTTTAAAATAGGGGAATGTTAGACCCACACAATCTGAAATTGAACTTCTTGCCCAAGAATGTGCATGCCTCTGAGATGGAAATGTCACGCAATTAGTCTGTCTTATTATGAAGGGAGCCATTTGACTCATGTCTAACCAGGACACTTCAGAATCAATGAAAGTGTTGTTGATAGCTACATAAGGTAGAGCTATCCTAAGCAAACTAGGGTATACGTTTATTCGATTTCTAAATGTTAAAAAATAATATTGTGTATGAAAAAGGGGCTAGCGGAATGGCTCAAGTGGAGAGTGTTTATCCAGCAAGCATGTGGCCCTGAGTTCAAACACCAGTTCTACAATAAATAAATACCACACACACAGAGAACATGAATGAAAGGAATGACACTGCAAAGATGTACTTTGTACTGTATGTTTAAGTCGTGTTCTTTGAGATTTCATTAATCTATGGTAAAATTTACTCTTCCCTGACATTTAAGGCAGTTATTAATGGATAAAAAGCCTTAAGAAACTATTATTAGTAGTGGTTAAGTATGTAAGAACCAGAATCAAATTTGCCTAAGTTCAAATTCTGTCTCCATCACAAAACAGCAAAATAGCTCATAATTTAAGAGAGAATTATTAAATCTCTCTGTATCTCAGTTTCCCTCCTCTGTATTATTTATTTTTATTTTATTTTATTCGTATGTGCATACAATGTCTGGGTCCCCTATATTATTTAAATAGCAACAATGGCTGTATCATAGGATTTTTTGAGCCAATTATATGGTTAGTTTGTATAAAGCACAAAAATTGTGTCTATCGTATAAAAAGTGCTGCATAAATATTAGACTTTACTATTACTCTTCAACTGGTGACTCTTAGGCTAATATATTACTATGAACACTGAACATAACATGACAAAATACATTTCATTGTCAGAAGTAACCAGATGACTTCTGACAGGCACTATTTATATACTTTCTAAGTATTTTATGCCCAAACAGCATGAAGAGGCAGGCTCAACTCAATTATTCTGTGTAGTTCACAGTATAAATAAAACAGGTTTTAATAACTTACCCAAAGGCCTGCAGAAACTCTAAAGAATGGCATAGAAGTGAATTCTAATCTGATCAAGAGCAGGGTTCTGTGGTAATTGTGACAACTCCTTTAAAGTAGTGATGACTTTTTAGGCCATCAGAAATGTAAATGGTGTTGGGCTGGGGATGTAGCTCAGTAGTAGAGCCCTTGCCTAGCATGTGCCAGGCCTGGGTTCGATCCCCACCACCCTCTTCCTCTTCCTACAAAAAAAAGTAAATAGTGTTCAAAACACCTGAACTCCTGCTTGAATTAAGAGCTAAACAGACCTTTTCAGGTACTGAGAGGAAAAAAAAAGGTAGTCCCCTAGTATAGATAAGTGTTTTATAGAGTACATGTATCAAATAAGTGTATGTACAATAAAGATTACCACCACAAAACGATTTTTTTGTTAGATTTTTTTTATCTTAATAAGAAAATAAGTGGTAAATGAAAATCAATGAGACAAAAAGCTAAGAACAAGTATATTATACAGCTTTCTATCTCTGTTTGATATGCTTATCCATAAACAAAATTACGTATAAAAAACAAAACCTTACCTGAATAGAGTACATTATAATTTTAAAACAGTGAACTGCAAATTCATTAGGGTCCCACAGTTTATGATGATCTAAATGCCTGTAAATAACAATTAAAAATTATTTTAAGAATTCCCTATTTTTATTAATAACTCTTTTTTCAGAACCTCCAACAATATGAAAGGCTTAACAAAATATTATCTAACAGGGAACCAAGATTTCAATTTCCAGAAATATGATACCTATTTTCTCTCAACTGCCAAATAACTACAACAAAATACTATACTACATCCAAGACTTTAAAAACCTAGATGAAGAGGCAAGAAGGAAAAGTCCCTAATGCCAAACTCCACAAGAGGTAAGAACCTGGAGAGGATGAGTGCACATGGAAGTCAGCAGTTGTGCTGGGCACGTCTTCCAAACTCCTACAGCCAGAGTAATGCTAGAGACAGATTTAGGACCAACCCAAGAAAGGTAGATGGTCAGATTAGAGATCCCAGCATAATTAAGGACTCTTAAAGACAACACCTTCAAGGAATTTCAAAAGAAAAAAATTCAATTTAAGCAATTCTAAAACAAGGGTTCAGCACATAATACACTCAGCTAGAAAAAAAAAAACATATTTGAATCCCATGCTACCAATTACTTATAGTTTTGATACCCTCCTATGAAGAACTTTATTCTAGTAACCTAACTTACTGACCCTGGTTCAAGTCTATCCTGCATAGCTCTGCCTGGTTAACATGTTCAAAATGGCAATTCTGACCATTTCACAATCTGAAGCTAAAATCTTCACTAATTTATTACAGACTTAAATATAAAATGCTGAGATCTGTACTGTAGCCTGAACTTTCTTTATCTCACACTAACCGTTAACTGTATGTAGCACTCTAGTCACTGATATCAGTATCTCGTACTCAGTGTTGATTAAAAATGGGTCACAATGGCACATGCCTATAATCCTAGTACTTGGGAGGCTGAGATTGGGAGGACCTTGGTTTGAGACCAGCTCAGGCAAAACAGCTCACAAGACCCCTATCGTAATGGACCAGAGGTATGGCTCAAGTGGTAGAGTGCCTGTTTAGCAAGCATGAGGCCCTAAGAATGGATTTTCCTCATAGTCCATATTATAATTATCATGCATGTCAATCATCTATCAAGTTTGTTATTTGTTATGTATTTCCCAAATACCTGGTACCTTATTTTAAAGGGCATTTTTAGCTAATTAAATATCTAACATATTACTACCTAACATTTAATTAACTTTATTTTGGTGAGCCTGGGGTTTGAACTCAAGGTTTTACACTTGTAAAGTATCATTTAATTAACTGTTATCTCAATGAATTAATAAATGATTAGGATCTAAATTCATTAAATTTTTGTAAAAAAGAATTTTACACCACTTCAAGTTAGTCAGGTAAAGTTAATTTGGCAAAGTCTTTCTTCCAGGCTAGCTATCTAGAATTCTAATATCAAGTTAACATATTTGGACATTAAAAAATAAACCTGCCTTTAGTATATCATGTACAGTTCTGATTTTTTTAAAGTAGTATTTTCATAAGCCTAGAGTAGAGAGCTCATTATTTGGGGGTAAGAGGGAAGACTGTAGATACTTTTGAAAACTCTAATGATTCTCTAATTTTTTAATATATTTTTTGTGGTTTGTAGATGCTAAAGGCCAACTCTGAATTGTATGATAAAAACATGGGCCCTAAATAATGAATTCTAAACGCTACATTTAGAATACTCCATTATATGCTAAATCCATTATTACCGTCAGATTGGAGAAAAGGATAGGTGAGCTTCAGAAAAACTAGTGAAAATCTACAATTACATAGAATACTGCAGTAGGCCTGCCATTCGATGAGTCAGCTAGAAGCAGAGGCTTGAGAGCTAGTGCTCATGTGGAGAAACTCAGAGCATATAAATGTATTTTCCCTGGAGGACAGCATTTGAGTTTTAATATTCTTGCCCTGTCTAATTGTTAGTTAAAAGATGAGATTTGCTCAAATGAACAGAAACTAAAGTAGCCAGACCGTGGTAAAAGGAAAGCTAAGGGATAAGAGGCACTGACCAAAGAAGTTAGTAAAACAAGGTACATCACATTTGAACACTGTCTGTTTAAATATTTCACTGCACATATGTATTGCAAGATTTGTAAGTTATTACTCAAGGCAAATGATGCACATGATATTAAGTATATTAACACACTTCATATTTAAATGGAAAAAATAGTCAGGTGGTTGAACCAGTGCTTGAACACAGGATGTCTGACTGAATTCTATGGAACTTCCATGATGTTACACTGGTTCCAATAATAATCACACAATTAAAAAGGTATTTATCCTCTTTAAGAAAATTAACTTAGAGTTAATACAGCAAAGTCACAAATAATCAGGAAAATACCAACTACTTACGCAAAAACTGGCCTAACTGCGTTATTCATGTTCCCAAAAGTTGCTCTCCCCAGCAGTTCTCTGAAACAGTTCTCAGCCAGCACAGCAGGATTCTCTTCTTTATCAGCTGCTGAAGGAGAAGAGGGAGGGCCTATGCGACTGAATGAGAGAGAAATAAGAAAAACAAACACGAGTTCTAACATAAGTTTTGACAGTTAACCAGAGTAGTCTTTACTTCTCAGAAATGTTAAAATGATATTTTCTTTTATCCCCAAATAACTTTAAAGCTTAATTCTAATTTCATGAATTCACCACCACCAAAGCCAATCATATTTTTTTGCAGATAGGTAGAACTAAAATCAGCTGAGTTTTCTGGTTTCCAACAGAAAATCCTTTACATAGGTAAGTAAAATACTTGGCAGCTTTCTACTTGTTGCTTTCCATATATCTTCTCTACATTTATAGCAAAATCCTAGTAAGAACAGTTCCAAGAACTGCCTTTAGGTAGCCCCACTTTTAACTGTAATTGGGCAAAAATAAAATTAACTGAAATTTTAAATAATAAAATTTAAAAGTTAATTAGAATACTTGTATATGTTGAGGTCTTTAGTAGACAGCTTTTGTTTTTTCACTTCTTGAAACGTTATTTTATGCTAATTATGTGCAACAATAATTTTTTTTAAAAAGCGCTATCTCTGGCACTGAGATTACACCATGAGAAAGCACAATTTATTATTTTTTCTTGTTTCTTTTTTAAAAATTTAGTGTTGTACTGGGGGTATATTGTGACATTTACAAACGTGCTTACAATGTATAATCACTGAATTCATCTCCTCCATCATTTTCCTTTATCTTCCTGCTGCCCCCCCCCATTCATGGAATACTTTCAACAGGTCTCATTTTTCCTAGAAAATACAATTTATTAAGATTTTACAATCAATGGGTTCTGTTTCCTTTATCTTACTTAGGTAAAAGCTGGACCTCAAGAGCCTAACTATGAAGCTGCCAATTAAATAGTAATTTTTTACATTGTAAGAAAACATTAGTACCAAGAATAGGAAAAACATACAAGGTGCTAAAACATATCAAGGTTCACACTTCTGGGAAAGGATTCCAAAGCTGGAGGTAGTCACATCTAAGGAGTTAGGCAAAAATCCTTTCTGATAAGTATAAATTTAAATGAATATGTAAGTGTTACCATAGTTATAAATTATACCTCATTTCTACACCATTTTATTTTGATGCTATGTATCATGAAAAATAAAATTAAATTTTTAGAACTATAAAATTAAATCTGTTCCAGATTCTCCTCAAACCACAACAATCAAGATCAGAATTATAAGCAAAACTGGAAAACCATGCTTTTTGAAGCTGAATTTCATAATGATTCTGCAGGGCAACAGAAATGTGGTAGAATATATGCTTCTGGCACTTGAAAAAGAAGAATAAAATTATGGGGGAAAAGAAAACCAGCCTATCGCCAAAACTAATAACCCATTCCAAAATATCTTAGAAGAAAAATGAACAGTGTCTATTTTTTTACTGAAAAAGTAAAAACCAACTCTAAGTATATCTATATATGGAAATGTCACAAGGAAATCCTCTATAAAATTATCATATACTAACAAATACGTATTTTTAAAAAATGAAGGATAGGAAGGGGAAACAGGTTCTCAGCAGGAGTGAGTTCCAAATGGGAAGGGAAAGGCATAAGGAAAGGGTAAATGAGGATGAACATAGTAGATGTATTTTACATTCATGTATGAAAATAGAACAATGAAACCTGCTAAAATTGTTCTAAGAAGGGGGAGACAGTAGAAGAGGAGAATGATGGAGGGGGTAAATCTAATTAAGATATATTGTAAGCACATATGCAAATGACACAATGTATCCCCCTGCACAACTATTATATGCTAATAAAAGGAAAAAGAAAACTTAGCATTAATATTGCAATTATTATTATATTGGTAATTATTATTATTTTATGGATTATCATTATTAATAGTTTTAATTCCCTGGAAAAGAACATGCTGGATTTCTAAGGCATAAAGGAAGTTACTAATTCTCATAGTAATTAAAATACCAATTTGGATGTCTGAAAGTGAACAGCAAAAAAGTATAAACTTATTCTAAACTAACATGAAGTTTAAGTGTATGAATAAGAAAGTGGCCAAGAAATCTGATGTGATTACAAAAGATTCATAATTCTCCCAGAAAGGTACATATTGTTGAACTTACTTAACCTTATGAGACTATCACTTACATAATACTAAAGACAAAACATTTCTATCCTTGGAAGCAGTACCTGTCAATTTCTTCGATCTTTTGCATGTTAAACAGAAGAGATGGAACAATCTTATCCATATGCTGAGGTTCCCAAATGGTGGCCCGAAGTTCATCATTGACTGTTTTGCGAACGACACCCTGAATACCTCTTATTCCAGCAATTCGGATTCTATGAGGATGAGAAAAAGGAGCCCTGAAAAAGCCATTTTAGTGAGTCCATTTGCCTACAGATTCATTTACACAATGTCAACTAAATATTCTTATCTCAACAACAAAATATCTTAAGATAACACACAATAAATCTAAGAAATTAAAATGAAGCCTACTTTGAATATCCTCTTTTAAAAATCAGCCTTTAATGGTTAACATACAGAAAAATCTAATACAGATATCATTTTTCAATATAAAATAATCAAAAGCCTAGGCCTTGCTAACATGATGCAAATTCAAACTAACATGATGTAGATTCTCTCCATTTTTTGCCTAGAAGTTTCAAAGCTGAGTGAGTAGAAAAGGATTTCATGGTTCCTCAGCAATGCCATGCTTTTTCAACCTTCTCTAGCTGTTCTAAAGAATCCTTTACCTCTTAGGAAGAGAAGCCGCTTCTTATAAAGGTATGTGTCTACAGACACAAATAAGATACATTATCACAGGTATGTGTGACTTACATTTATCAATATAGCATTTATTAATGCTGTCCTATCCTCCCATCCCAATTAACAGTCCCCAATTTCCTCAAGCATTTCCTCATTTTCCTAAGAAAAAATGAAAACTCCATAGGTTTTAAGAGTGAGAGTAGTGAGCTCAAACAGTTTACAAAAGCTGCAGAAGGACAAAATCTCAAGACAAATGGTATCCTGTTTGTCTTAAAACACATTTCTTCTGGCCAAATGACTTCCTCTTTTTTCTTAGTTTACTATCTTTTCTCCCTACTAACTGAAATACTCACCAATTAGAGGTTTATTCAACTTACCTAACACTGTCTTTCACAAACTATAAATAGGATGAAAGACTAGAAGATATGGAGAAAGGAATGACAGTGCTTAAAAATCCATGGGGAAATAACACAAGGGGGGTTCCAGAGCAGCAGATAAGGAGAATGGAAAGTGGCAATTATGAAACACCGAACAGGTGAGAAAAGTGAATTGGAATATATAAAGACAATTTCTACCCATTTTAAAACTTTGTCTATACACACTGCTATCTAAAACATAGGAAGGTATGCACCTATCACAAGTGGGCAAGCTTAACATTACTATAAAGGGTATTTGTTTTACACCCCTGCTGCTACTTCTTAGGTGACGAGGCCAAGGTAGCATAGCACACAATAGCTTAGTGGAACAGCGGCAGATGGAAGTGCCTTTGTTGCGGATACAGAGGGTGTACTGATCACCAATAGAGACTTCAGTTACAGGCTGGCATCCAATCCAGACCTAACATGTGGCCTAACCAGCCTTCCAGCTATGACTCGCAAAGGAATTTTAGTTTCCTTGTCAGTGAAATAGAACGCTTGTGCCTATAGCATACAAATGCTATGAAGATATAAATGAGTTAATTTACGGAAAGTGCCTATCAGCAACTGTTCCACGGTAAACAATCATTCACTAAGCATGAGCTGCTCCTGTATTCGTTATTACAATGAGGATGAGGAGTTCTGAAACTAGAGCTTAAGACTGTGATGTACAAGTTTATAAGTAGGAACCATTTCTACAAGGAAAATATTGTAAGAAAATTTTAACAGCTACCAGCATCATTGCCTACTGCTCACGCCCCCTGGACTTCTACATGATAGCATTTTGTTGAAAATGAGTATCAAAGTTATAACCTGAAAGGGAATACAAATGTACCAGAAGAAAACTAAATGAAAAACAAATCCTTTATCTTAAGGCATTGTATTTTATTTATTTCAAGGTGATTCAAATGAAATGTTGGGATTTTCAAACTTCAAATACAAAACAATGGAAAGATCTAGAACTGGGAAAAACTAATGGAGGTCTTTCATTTGTATATAGAAAATTTCGAGTTTCTTTTTTTAGCCATTAATGAAAATCATTAGGTGAAAATATATTCAGAAGACAAGCTATTTCCCCAGCTGGCGATAACTACCTAAAAATAAGGTAACCCTGTGTAACAATTTTTGAGTTATTTTTGAATTTCTTTTTCTTTTTACAGTACCACAGCTTGAACTCAGGCCTTCATTAGAGCCACTTCACCAGCCCTATTTTTGTGAAGGGTTTTTTGAGACAGGGTCTTATGAACTATTTGCCCGGGCTGGCTTCAAACCACGATCCTCCTGATCTCTGCCTCCTAAGTAGCTAGGATTACAGGTGTGAACCACTGGTGCCTGGCAAATTTCTTAAGCACATTCTTTTATAAATATTATGATTAGAAACACTTTTTACTTATATTGATTTATACATGAAACAGTTTTATAAAATGTTTAAAACTGTTCTTTAGAAAGGGAAAAAGGATTTTAGCGGTGACTAGGATGAAGAGGAAATCAATCTTAAGGCAATTATAGCATCCTAACCTCTAAGATATTATATACCACAACAAAGAATAACAGGGTGGGGGCATAGCTTAAGTGGTAGAGAACCTGCCTAGCAAGTGCAAGGCACCAAGTTTAAATCCAAATACCTCCAAGAAAAAGGAAAAATAATAATAATAGCACTCTAAGTGGCCTAAACTATATTGAGGAAAACTAAGTCATAAACAAGTCATAAACATGAAAAGAGAATATTAACTCACTTCTCACTTTTCTTTCTCCAAGTAACAGTAACTTTCACACTTGTTTTCATTCATATAAACTAACACTCTAACTTGCAAATGGAAGCTAATTAAATTTCTGTACACTGCCTTATTTATTTTAAAAGAAAATTAAAAATTACAAAGCATGTTAAACCTTGACTATCAACTGCCCACAATAACTCTCCGAATTTATGTTCATTTCTTTTTTTGGGGTGTATTACAGTAATGCTCAAACTTCTTTCTTTCTATATTTACCAAGGTCATTTTGACTTTAGTTCTTAGCTTTAAACTATCATTTCTACACAGAAGTCAACCTACAGAGTGCTTTCAGATAAGCATTTGACTCCAGACTTTTACTAGAACATATCTAGAAGAACTGTTTCAAAATGCCAAGTCAGTTATCATGACAACCACAAGTTGACAATGATTCAGTAGTATGCATTCATTCATTTAGTCATTCAATTTATCCATCTGCTTATTCAAAAAATACTTATTGTGAGTCTACTAATTGTGGGGCACTAGGCAAAGTGCTTACAACAGTCCTCAGAACAAAGCCTTTGCCCTCTTCAGTTTATACTCCAGAGGAGTGAGAAAGAAAGAGATGTAATAAGAAGATAAAGGATTGATGTTCAATAAAGAAGCCCAGGGGAGAATTCTCTGGGTAAAGTGACATTTGAGAAAAAATCTGAACAAATGAGGCAACGAGCCGTGTGGGCATCTGGAAATGATTCTAAGCAAAGAAACCAATGTGTCCAAAGACTGAAGAGAAATGAATCAAAGTGTTCAGGAGACAATAAGGAGATCCATGTGGTGGGTTGGATAAAGCAGGAGGAAATGACAGAATAAGAGGTTCTGAGACAGGCAGGAGGAGCACGAAGGGACATTGTAGGCTACAGCAAAGACTGAATTTTGGCAAGTGAAATGGAAAGCCGCTCTCATTTTGCAACTTCAGTTGGCAGTTGTACCCTCTAACAACAATGCAAAGTTGCAGTCCACCATATTCTCATTTCTTTGATAATCATTAAGTAATATAAACACTACATTCATCAATAAATTACTCCATAAATTACTTAAGATAAATCGTAAAGTAAGACAATACATACTCTGTTCGTATTTCTGGATCACTATGACAGGAATGACACATGGCACTGAATCGAGATACAAAAAAGTCGTATCGTCTGTGATAGGATGGTGTATCTTCTTCAATATTTGCAAATTTGACAAACTAAAAACAAAACAAAACAAAAAAACAATATACCTAGCCACTTTCAAAGTATAAATGCATTTGCTATCTGTTACACTAGCAAGCAATGTCCAAACAAGCGGCAAATGAAGTAAGTAAAACGTCACATGCTGCGTGCGTGCGTGTTGCTGAGGACTGAGCTGGGTCTCCTCAGTACTTTTGCTTTTATTCTGGTTTTCAGGTACAGTCTTGCGTCACCATGCCCAGCTCAAATGGACTTTCTTAGTTGTGGGTAGAAAGTCTTCCTGATGGCTGTTACATTATGTGAAAGTATCAGAATGAATAAAATTTACACAAAAACAATGGAACAAAAAAGGAAGCATACATGGAAGGAAACATGATAAAATCAAGAGAATAAAAAATACTGAGACAGTAAAATGTATTCTACTTTCATTTCTTTGTTCTTTTTTTACACAGGATCTACATAGCACAGGCTGACTTGGAATTCGTAATCCTCCTGTCTGGCCCTCCTGAGCGCTGGGATTATAGGCATGTATTACCACACTGGGTTTATTATTCTACCTTCTTTCTAATGATTTACAAAAACTCTTCTGTCTAGTAAAATTTAAATATCTTGCATATGGCAGTCAGTCTTGAGCACTCTAGATCCCTAATATGCATTTTTCTTTAGCTTCCTCATTCATTTGGAAATTTATTATTTCTATACACTAAGTAGCCTAAAGCAACAAGCTCTATGTTTACTTGCAAAGCTAAATAAATACAAGTATAAACACATACCAGGATATAGACCAGTGGCTTTAAAAAGCCATGTAGCCAGAAGTAGTATTTGACCAAAGTAACAATAATCAGAATTACTAATCTCTGTTGGAAAGAAAACTGCAACAAGCACAGTATAAATTTAAAAAAAAAAAAGAGACTGGAAATCTAAAAGGATTTAAAATTAATTTGGCTAGAGCTAAGATATGTTTTTATATGATTTACATCATCTAGAAAAGGGCCACAAGCACTATACCTGAATCAAACTGTAGTAATATATCACCTATTCTATACTGTACATGTTCTCACCAGGGCTCTTTCTAATTGGTCCAATAGCCCTGCAAAGACTGTGCCCACTAACCCACTTTACAGATAGGTACAGAGGTTCAGTCATTTGTCAAAAGCGACACAGTGAATGAATGGTGAAACTAAAACTGGCATGACAGCCCGGGGATCTGATTCTGCTTCTCAACACTCCTGTACTACACACTAACCATACAAATAGTTTCAGAAAACATTAAACCATTTATATTTTTCATTAAATTAGACCATGGACAGGGAAACATGCACAAACACAAAAGGTCTATGAATATATTACAGTGCTCACTTTTAATATATATTTGAGAATATAAACATTAAGGAATCATTTCTGAATTTTGGCATTACAGGTTATTTTGGGTTCATTTTACTCATTTTTTTTTTACATTTTGACATTTTCCAAATTTGCTGTAACAAACTTACACCATCATCACCATCACCATTGGCAGTATGGACAGTATGGGGGCCTTGCACTTGCTAGACAGGTGCTCTACCACTGAGGCCACATCTCCAGCCCCCTTTTTTGGGTTATTTTTTGAATAGTCTCCTGTTTATGCATGGATCAGCCTGGACTGTGATCTACCAAGGATGACATCACCACTGGTGGCCCAGCTTTTTTACTGGCTGAGATAGGGTCTTGTGAACTTTTTGCCCTAGGTTGGCCCCAAACTATGATCTTCCCAATCTACACTTCCAGGGTAGCTGGGATTACAGAAGGAAGCCACCATGCCCAGCTTATATCACTTTTAAAATAGAAAAAAACAGAAATAAAGCAAAAATGGCCATTAGAATGTTCCATGTTCTAGAGAATGTTTAGAAGAAAAAAATTTTCATTCTTTTGTCATTTATTGAAAACCACAAATACATACATACTCTTAGTGATCATTTACACAGTAGCTCCTATTGCCCTTGAGCATAGAGAACAGGATAAAAAATGGTTAGCCCTGCTCTAGGGGAACTGCACAAAGCACATATTCCTTCCCAGTGTATGGAAAATTTCTTTCATCCCTAACTCTGGAAGCTCTCTAGCACTAAATTCTAAATGCGTAAGATCTATGCTAAAATGCACCAATAACAAGAAAGGTATTATCATTACAGACTTATATGAAGGAGTGGAGAGGACACATGTAGGAAACACAGTGTTATGCAGCAACTATAAACATACGCTGTTGGATAGTCCTGGATTTGGATTCTGGGTTTACTAAATAGATGTGTTACCTGTGAAATGCAATAACTTCAAGGGTTAGTGAGAGGTTTACTAAATATGCAACAGAAAGTAAATCCTGTATTTTTCCACTTCAAAATTGAAGCAGGGAATTAGATATGTTTCAAAAACTGTAACAAAAGCAGTAGCAAGGCAATCATTTAGATGCAGGGTTTCTCACCTATGCACTATTAAAATTTGGGGTCTGAGACTGGAGGTGTGATTCAAGCATAGAGCACCTGCTTTGCAAGTGTAAAGCCCTCAGTTCAAATCTCAGTGCCACCAAAAAAAACTGGGGGTCTGATAAAGCCATTGTTATTAAATAAATTGTCATTAAACCATTTTCCTTATCTAATTATAAGGGAAATAGGAGAAGCCTTAAGTAGCTACCTTGCCAGAAACCAAGCCTATTACATCACCTAACTTCATCTGGAAATATCCAATATCTTCCTTTGAAATAAAGGGGTAAAATCATACAGAGATTTTTCAGGGAAGATTTTTAGTTAAATACTCTTGCTTTTCTATTATTACCAGTAATAACAACTAACAATACCAGGCACTTTTCTAAGAGTTTCATATAAACTAACTCGTGTAAGATTCTATACAAGTTCCAATCTTAAATACTGGAACTGCTATCATCATCATTTCACAGATGAGAAACTGAGTTAACAGGTTAAATGACTTGTCCAGGCTACAAAGCTAGAGATGCAGACATAAAGTCAAACCAAGGCAGCTGGGTTCTGGAATCCATGTGGCAGTCATCAACTATACTTTTCTTCCTGTACCAGGAAATAATTATTCATAAATAACAGGCAATATGATTTGTTAGCTGCTAATAAAAATGTGGATGGGAACACACAGTATTTGTGTAGGCTGAATGCCTTAAAGCTTTTTCAGAATGGAAAATCTAGCTTATGCATAAACTTGTAAACAAATGTTTATAGTCCTCCAAAAAGTAAAAACAATCCTAATGTTTCTATACTGATGAACTGATAGATAAAAAATGTACTGTATGTTGAGTCACTGAGTCATAAAAAGGAATGGGTAACCCTTCAAAACATTATGCTAAGTTAAAGAAGTCAGACATAAAAGTTTATATAATGGATGATTTTATTTATCTGAAATATCCGTAAAAGAAAAATCCACAGAGAGAAAGTCGTAAGTGGTTTCCAGGGAGAGAATAAGGAGGTAATGGAGGTGCAACTCTATAAATACTTAAAAAGATAAATGAACTGCATAAGGATGAACTTTATGGTAAATGAATTAAACTTCAACAAGCTGTTATTTTTGAAATGGCATGAAACTCAAAGAAAGAGTAGAATGCAAAGTCAGTATTGTAACAGGTGACCCACAGAAAATAAAACAACAGGTATAGATTAATTTATAGGCAGGCATCCCATTATGATTAGTTACTATCTTAGACTTTACGTGGAACAACAGCAAACATCAAAGGCAAAATGTTCAAAAATTTTTATCTGTATTAGTTGTCCAAATGCCCTGACCGGGGACTGGGCCTTTGCCACATTAAAAACATCTTAAGAAGAGATAAATTCCAGATATGCTAATTAAACTTAAAATTAGTAAGAGAATGGTTTTGCTCACAGAATTTGTTCCAAGAACTTGAAGCTTTGGTTCCCCTGATTCCAGGAGCTTTGCCACCATATGAAGAAAGCTTTCTACAAATGGCTTGATGCTTTGCGAATGGCAGGCCATAAGAAGTTGGTCCAAGGCCTCCATAGCAATTAGAACATACCTGAATGTAAGAAAAGCATTGTCAATGCATTTCTAGCTCTCTTTATTCTCCTAAGAGCTTCTTATTGAAATGATTATTTAATGCACAGACACAGAAAGGCTAATTTAGTAGCTAAATTCTCAGTAGCTATTAATTCTGAGAGCACTATAATAACTTTAGTACATTATAAAATAATTCTAGGGTTGAGGTGCACAAAAACTAAACTATACTGTATTGTCTTCTTAAAACAACTCTTTCAGAGCTTCTTTAACATTATTTTTGTGTAATTTTCCTTTGTAAGCATGGACATTTTCAAGACTTTTAACCATATTTATTCACATGACCCAAAACAGTTATTAAAACAATGTACCCAAGTCTCCAACATGACTTACTTACATAAATCTGAAGAGATAAAAGAGTGCTAGAAATAACAGAATACTGTAAGAAAACAATGCATAAATTTTACTTTAAAATTCAACAAATATTTTGGGTTTTTTTTTTTCATTTTTATTAGCACATATTCATTTTACAGAGTTCATTGTAATAACTCCAAATAGGGAACTGTAAATTCAACAAATTTTAAATCCTAAGTACTAAAAATTTAAATTCAGTCTTCAGAAAACTTTCCTTCAACTACCAACTACAAATCTATCTGTACCACACCTGCTAAAATGTTCTAAGTGGTAACAACACGGAGGCGCCCAAAACCAATGTCTCTTGAAGAATGGAATACTGCAAGAAGCTAGGATTATAAAATGACAATATAGACAATTATTATAATTCAAATTGCACAGTTATTACTGTTGAAGACTGGAGAAGGGTTAAGCTGGTTGACCTTTACTTATAGGCAAGAACACACTTAATATAGTTCTGTGTCGGCATGCACACATCACATCTGCTGGACGTTGAGACCTAAGTCCAATGTGGTTCTCTCATTCCTCTGAAGTTGAGTCAAAAATCAGTTAACAGTATCTTTCTGTTTGTTTCCAATTTAGAGACTAGTTTTAAGTTACAAAATCACACCTATAGACTAAGGAGTCAGTTTTTTACTACTTCCCATTAGAGAAGTTCTAAAACTTAATGAATGCTGAAGCTAAAAGCTACTGTTACAAACAAAAACTGAGTGTGTATCATAAAACCTGACCACCAGGCAATACAAACTACAGGACCTACGTGGGTTTTACACACTATTCTTCGTACAATTTATCCTCCAAATATTGTCCTTGCCTAACTAGATGACATAATAATTTACCCTGTGATGATTTAGAATAGTAAGAACTTTCCAAAAACAGGACATTAGCAGCAATTCACTTCCTTACCCAGATCGATGTCTGACAACATCCCTGCTCAGCCTTTCTGCCAAATAAGCACCTATTCGATCCAACTTCTCTGGAGCAGATACAGCATAAAATGTCAATTTCTCCATATCAGCTTTAACGAGGCCATCCTGAAAATAATGAAGATAAACAGGTTACTTAAATTTTCATGCTTAATCTTTTTTGTTTTTTTCTTTACTTTTTTGTTTTTTTAGAGAGTCTCTGTATATAGCCTAGATTTTGAACTCATGATCCTCTTGCATCAGCCTCCTGAGTACTGGGGATTCTGTAGTTGCTGTTTATATTTCCTACTTCACATTTCCCCCTTTTGGATTGGGGATTAATTCATATTTATGCTAAACCTTTGTAAGTGTAACCTTCCTAATACTAACATTAACCTATCTGGATTACACAGAACTTTCAGAAAGTTAAAGAAATACCCCACTAAGGCAGAGCATTTAAGTGGCCCTTCATAAACAATGAATTTGACTCTTAACACTTTCCTTTATAGAGAAATAGCTCAATTAACAGCAATATGCAGAAAATGGAATGTATCTTAGGGAAAAGATTTCAAATAAAATTTGCTTCAATTTAAAATTTATAAATGTTATTTTAAGCCTATACTCCTTTACATATACAGGAGTGGACATACTGTTTTTATTTAATGATTCAGAACTTACTGATATCATTATAAAGTTCTGTTGTAATTAGTGAATGAGAAAGTATACAGAACAGTAAGAACCTATGTTTTGTTGATGTATTTTTTTTAAGTAACGAATAGATCCCTGATATGGAATTACAAAGTTGTCAATGTCTCCATCCTCTCAAATGGCATGCAGTGGATTTAATGATTCTCTCAACCTCATAGATGAGTTGACATGAGTGAATCATTACCCTATATTTCTTGGCCAGATATAATCCAAGTGACTAAATGATGCTTAAAAATACGGGAGGAGGCGGGAAAGGAGACAGTAAAATTATGTTAGATGGATGGTGATGTTAGATGATGAATCCAGACTTAAAAATGTTGTAAATTTGCATGTTCAACTTCAACTGGGCTCCTGACATTTACTGGTTAGTTTGCTGTTTCCCAGATAGTCACTCCCTCGTATTTGCACCTAATCCATTGTCCGAGTTGCTACTTTGCAATGAAATCGCAGTTTGCAACGCTTCTGTGCATGACTTCTTTTACTAAACCCATCTGTCTAGGCATCCTTCTTTAATTCTCCCAGGTAACTTCTACTCACCCTGCTAGTTTCAGCTTCTTCCAATCAACTAAATTAGTCCTTCCCCGCCATTCTCCACTATTATATTTTCTTATACTGTCCCATCTTCTGTTAAAATACTAATTGAGTGCCAACTATGTGCCAGGCACTGAAATAGACACCGGTGAAGCAACTGCTCAGTTCTCATGTGAACTTTATGAAATAGGTATTACTTATTACTTCCATACATGAGGGGAAACTTGACAAGATCATGTGCTTAGTAATTACGGACAAACATTATTTGTCCCCCTTACCAAAATGCTCTTTGGAGGCAGGGACTGATATGTACACCTCTGCATTTGAGCACCTACTGTCTAACGCATTTTAGATACAAGATTTGTGTATTTGTTTTAATTAAGTTAAAATAAGAAATATAGCAATTAAGGAAAGGTTACCACATAAGTATGCAAGGTTCATGAAAATCTTGTTTTAACCTATTTTATAGGTGACTATTTAAATAGGTATTAGCTGAATCCTTGGCAAGATAACCATTCTGTACCATTCTCTAGTTTATTTGTAGTCACCCCTATCATCAAGTGTTCAAAGGTCAAGAGCCTAAAAGACAGGGTGGGTAAAGTTGACTCCTCGCCTGTCCTTTACATTCCTCCATACTCTGTCCTCTATGTGCTTCTTCTGTAACTATATGTCCTGGATTTCTCAGGAAAATAATGACTTGAATATTCAGTCTATTAACTGATGCATCTGAAATTTCCAATCAGAAATTATGGTCAATACATTATTACCTTTTCCACTTTATTAGGAGATCATTTGGAATCTAATGGATCAACTTGCTCTTCATCTTGAATGCATCTCTTACTTTCCCAAGCCTCTTCTTTTCCCCTCAGTTGCAATAAACTATTCTTCTCTCCCTGTCCAGATGGTATACATTTGTCAAGGCTCTTTTATCCTGGGAGTTTCCTCTGGGAAACATTCCAACCCACAGTGTACTTCCTCACTTCAGAGATGAAAATTTTACCACCTCATTTACTTAGCATTTTACCTTCTGCTTTATGCATTACAAATTAATATTGAATATGCTTTTGTATTATGTCAGTAAATGGATGAAAAGCTCCTTCAAGGTAGGTACTGTATCTTAGGGTTTTTATATGCCAAAAATGATTCAGGATCTCTGACAATCAATAGTACTTATAACTAACTTTGTAGATGAGTGCTTGAACAAATTTAATTGAAAATGAGATGTCAATGTTAAATTAGTGTTAACATAAGTAAAAGGTTTCCATATAGTTGCCTACATTTTAAAATAGAGTCAACTGTGGGAATCAAACTCATGTAATATTTTGTATTCATATCCATTGAATGAGAGACTAAAGAAGTCTTACAAAGTCTAAGGTCATGTCAAAAAACACTGAAACCCAACTGCTTTGAAACCAGTAATCTTTTCATATGTACTTCAAGTTTTTATAAAAAATTAAAAAGTATTTAAATAAAAGGACTACAGACATTGTTTGGAATAGTTTTCTATTACCTCAATTCTCCTCTCAAAGTGTATGGCCAACCCCTACTTGTTTAGATCTTTGCTTAGATTTTATTTCCTTAAGGCCTTCTTCTAAGCCCAAATTAAACATGTCCATCTGCAAAAGCAGCACCTTGTAGCACTTCATCTCTGTATCACAACATTTTTTCACACAATATTGTAGCTGCTGATAGTAAAAGTAGAAAATAATGCCTATGTTAAAGTCGCATCCTCAGCACAGAGTGTAAATCATCTGGCATTGGTTTGTAAATTTTTGGTAAGTGCTATTTAAATTAAGCATAAGTCAGACTACAAAAGAACATTTTAGATTTGTGCCTAATCTATGAAAAAGATCTGAAAGCTAGATAAGCAAGCGAGGGTCACTTGAAAGTTAAAAAAGAGAATATAAAGACAATAGTATATGTGATGAGACATAGGGATAAAAGTAGAGAAATGAAATTAGGGAAACCTTAGGGAGGTCAGCAGGGGGCAGAATGAGTCAGCAAAGACAAGGATCAGTAGATGTAGATCAAATTACTTTTGGATCTTCAGGGAATATGTTGTCCACCAGGCGTTTGTAACGAGGACGCAAAGCAGAGCAGCAGCAACAAACTCCTGTTAAAAAAAAGAGCATAGGATTAATATTATGAACTGACCCAGAAGTTCAAGTTTCTGAATGTTGATGGACTATTTTAAAAGGTTCAAAGAGCCACAAACAGAAAAGGCATTCAGTAATTAAGAAATAAGGAATCTAAACTTCTCCCTTCCCCAAAAACCTGTAGCTGCTAAGAATTTTCATTAACAAATACACACTCTGTACCAAATTTGTTCTATTAAGCAGACACATGAGCCAGGGCTGCCTCTATCTCCTTTCTGATCTCATCTACTTCTCCCCACAAACCCGGACCTGTGCGTCCCAACTCATCTCACTCTACCATAATGATCTCCTTGCCAATCCTAACAAACTTGGCACTTTCCTTTAGATCTTGGTTCTCATTCTTGTCCTCTGCCTGGAATATGCTTAAGTATCCATTAAACTAACTCTGTCAGTCACCTCTTTTAATTCTTCATTTCAATCTGACCATTCTTATCGGGCTCTATTTTCTTTTACTCCCAAAATGTTAAATAATTTTCCTATTGTGTTTATTAATTATTGCTGGCCTCCTGTGAGAATCAACTAAAGTCAGGTCTTTTCTGTCAAAGGAGTTAATATATACCTATCAATTGTGTAGATGCCAGCTAATGTCCCCAAATTGCTTTATGGAACGTTGCTTGGCCCTGCAAGGTTCTTTTGGTCAAAAAGCTGTTTACTGCGAGATGCCCTAATCTCAAACTGCTTCACCTGTCTCTTCTGTAGCTTAATAAAACCATCATCTCTTTTTTGAGCTTCATATTCCTGAAACCATGAGTAAAAATGTCAACCCCAATTCCTTGTCTGCAGGGAACCTTGAGAAATCACTAGCTCACTGAGCTATAAACCATGAGCAATCACTGTCCCATTAAATTGCAGAATGTCACTGCATCAGAAAACCTTGCCCTTACCCCTAACGACAGCCAGTCACGGAGTGTTGTGAGCCAAAGCGTGGACCAATCCTCATGAGGGAATCACATCAGGAATATAATCTGAGTAGACTTCCCACTCAAGTGTGTTCTACCTATCAGACTATGGTCTTGGGCTGCACCCTTCTGCAGAAGTAAAACTTTTCTTTTTGCCTTGTTGAGCAACTCCCACGTGTTTCTTTGATCACTGTTTGGGAACAGCACTTCTAACACTCCCCTCACTAAGACATAAGCTCAGATGATGGCAGAGATCACTGCTTTGCTCACTGATGAATCCCAAACAACTGGAATAACACCTAGCATACAGTAAGCATACAAATGTCTGTTGAAGGAATGTGTGCATGTGTGAATGAACAAATTTGTATTATATTTAAGTCAACAATGCCTTCACTGCTGCTCTTTCTTTTCCACTTTTCAACCTAGTTCAGATTTATTATCTTACCTGTATCTTTTTCCATAGCTCTTTAACTGGTTTCCTAGCCATTTCTTGTGGATACTACACAGACACAGTATTTATAGCCCTGTTCTAGTAATACTGTTACACTGACACTTCCAACAGTACTCTGATGCTTGAGTAAATATGTACAAATGCCATACTATCTCATAACATCCTTTCAAACTTAGACCCTTTGTGTTACTAACCACTCCTTATACATCACAAAATAGCTTTATTATTAAATGACATACCTAGTCTGAGAAAATATGTCACAGAAAAAATTAAATACGTTATCTTAAAATTAAAACATAAATGAAAACAAAGATTGAAGGATATGCAACAAATACATCAAAGCACATGTGTCCAAATTATAAACTTTTTGCAGACAGACCAAAAAAACAGAAAAAGGCATGACCAGAAGACTCAGGTTCATTCCAAGTCTTTCACTTAAAGGATACTTGATTGGCTAAGGCACCTTAGCTACCTGGGAAGAATTATGTGAATGACAGGGATCAGTTTTCCTGTCCCACAAATCAGTAGCTTAATAGAAATACTAGCCTTGACACATTATAAAATGACTCCATGATTCATGAAACTGGAGTGCATTTTTAAGTGTATATTTATATGTAGTTAGAAAACAAAACATGGTATCAGGGAACACTTGAAATAAAAGTTAAAAGAACTCAGCTATGAGCATACCTCTGCTATCTTATCAAGTAATGTTAGAAAAGAGATAGTTCCCTCCAGATCTCATGTTCCCTGTTAAGCACACATCATTCATTCATGCATTCATTTACCAAACGTCAACTGAATGCCCAGCACAGGCCAAAACAAAACTGAGTCCAGATTTGCAATAGAGTGGAACCATTAAAGTTATGATAAAAAACAATTCTAGAGTTAAGATTTGTACAGCATCTTTCATGACCTGAAAGTACTATATATAGAGGTAATTTAACATTTCCAGCAACCATGAGTTTATTACTATTACTAATCTGTAGAAGCAGGAATTGCAACAAAACCAATCAGGCAGCGTACTCAACAGTAATGGCTAGATGAGAATGAGATTTTAAAATTAAAATCTTGGGCTCTTTCTACACCAGAGATATACTAAAGTATAAAAGGGACAACATCTCTGCCTGAGGAGTTTGGAAACTGTTACAAAAACAGTAATTCAGTATACTTAGGCACTATATGCTAGCAGTTATAAAATGTCATCCACTGTTCAGGATGCTTTCTAATCAAAGAAAAATCACAACAAATCAAAATATTTCAGAGTTATTTTTCAGATTAATACCAAAATACCTGAATGCTTTTTAGATTCGAAAACAAAACACAGGTTTGATTATTAGGGAAGAAAAAGTAACAAATAACTTAGCACAAATTGACAAAAAATCGTATTTCTGTGCGTATCACAACTAATACAAAAATACTTCAGATAAATTATTACACTGACAAAAATAAATTAAAATCAAATATTTCCTGAGCAATAACCATACAAACAGGGGGTATTGCAATGATGAAAAGTGTGTAATCTGATAAGAAGATGAATACTTTGCTAACACTAATGCAAGGCCAAGAATAGTAAATTCAAAATGTCATAGCAAAAAGTCTGGCAATGAGATGGAAGAACAAGTCCTAATGCTTTAAGTTTCCTGTCAGTTTTGGTCTTTTCAGTGAGAAGAGTATTGCAGTCTTAGCAAACTATTCCACTTACACTGGCTCTTTCTGACACGTTACTTTTAGCTTAAAGGAGCTGGAAAAACAAATGTGAATCTTGATTGCAAAAGGGGAACGATTAAGGGAGGGATCCAGTTGGGAGGGTGATAAGGAGTGAATATGATTGAAAAATAGTGTGTGTGTGTGAGTGTGTGTGTGTGTGTGTGTGTGTCAAAATAGCATATACAAACCCACTAAAACTGTTTTAGAGAGGGATGAGAGAGAGGGGTTAAGAAAGAGTAATACTAGGGTGAATTTAATCAAAGTACATTCTATACATGAATGGAAATATCACACTGAAACCCCTTTGTAGAAATACTTTATGCTACTAAAAAAATAAAATAAATATGAACCTGAAATGCAACAATAATCCCAATTTCCACTTTAAGGAAGCTTAGGTCCACTGGAGGAGACAGATGGGCAAAAGGCAAGGGACTAAAAAGAGTAAGTTTCGGAGTCAGATAGATTTAGTGGAAACCTCAAGGCCCCTCCAGCCAAACAGCAGGATACTTTGTCTTACTACACTTAAGTCTCCTCAGCAGTGGAAGAATGCCTAAAAACATAAAATTGCAAAAAACATAAAATTCTATATAAAGTTCTCATCAAGCATTCAATAAAAAGGTATTATTAGTAATGAAGTAAAAGTAGTTTTATAATCAGTGTGAGCAGAACGACAGCCCTTTAGATAGTATTCTTAAGAGTGTAAAAAGCCTTTGCTGCAAACTGATCATCTAAAACTTGCAATACATTTCATACACACCCCACAACAGCTTTCAATGATAAGTAGCAGCAGGGGTGTCTGCTACTTTATAATGTGATGTTTATAGCCCTGTACTAAGGACTTTACAACATGACTCATTTACTCCTCTAGCAAGTCTCTGATGTAGTTATTATCATCTCCGTTTGGTAAGTAAGGAAATAGACTTAGAGATGCTCATTTGCTCAGTACCACAAAGCTGATAGGGATCCAAGGCACTGCAATCCCAACTCAGGTCTGATGACTTCAAAGGGAAACTGCCACACTAAATTCAAGTACCAGAGGAACTGCAAATTACTTTAAACATGTTAGCTTTCTACAGATCATGACCAGTGGATCTGAATGCAAGACTGTGTCTAATAGATGACACACACATATAGGGAAATGAAGGATCAAGGTGGATTTCTTAGAAGGCCCAAAACAAAACACCTCTTGACAACTATGCATAAATGAAAAGTTACCTACTGTAAAGATGACACATGATATTAGGTTAAATTTTTCAATTTACTCTTTCTATAAATTATATCAAAGACAATATAATGTGAAAATGATTTTGGCAATAATAACAAAAGAAATTAACAACTTTTAAATAAGAGAATACCGTACTTATAAATATCACAAGAACATATAAGATAAAATTGTTAGACCTACTCAGGCACAAAAATGCCGTTGACTCCCCTGGTGAAGTAAATTCATAAGGTTTTTCGAGTTCAGCTGCAGGAACCTGAACATAGTCCTTCATGTGGTATGAGACTATTTTTTACTCGATCTTCCTGCTTCTAGATTCTTTTACTTACTGTTCAGTAAGTGTTTGGTTTACTTTACTTCTAATTAATTAGCAGAGGGCACTAAAGTACTGTAGAGCTTATCTAACTTGTTGACATCAAATGTAAGACTATGAGAACTTGATAATGTCCATATCAAATTCTTCTAACAAGGCCAATTAGCTTAAGTAAGACACTCTTAAAAGTACTTGCACTGCTAATCCAATAAAAGCAGCTTTTCAGACTGTTTAAATAAGCAAGCAAGCCTACTTGTACCTTTTTTCCTCAAGGCAGTCCTTACTCCTCCTTGTCCTAGCTTCTGGTTCCTTCCCACTCTCTTGAGACCTAATACCATACTATTTTCAATCTCTTCCCAAATT